CGTTCCTCTTGAGGGCCAGATGTACATGTTTTAATTCACTGGCCAGGTGGTGTTGGTCCGAAATGCAATGAGCCATGTGGTATAACGTTTTGATGAAATAATTCTTTTGGGCTGGGTGGTGGTGGGAATCAGGTTTCTTGTAGGAATCTGTGTGGGTGGGTTTCCTGTAAACAGAATGCCCCAATGAGCCATCAGGTCTCCTCTCAAACAGAACATCCAAGAATGGTTGCTTGCCATCTTTCTCCACTTCCATGGTGAATTTGATGGCAGGGCATCTGGAATTAATGTGGTGTAAGTAAATGTTCAAAGCTGGGAGGCCATGTGGCCAAATGACGAAAGTGTCGTCTACATATCTCTTCCACAGGGAAGGTTTGAGGATGCCGTCCAATTCAAATTTCTCCATGAAAACATTGGGTATCACTGGCGACAAGGGGGAACCCATGGGGGTACCCTCATTTTGTTTGTAAAAGATGTCATTCCAAGTAAAGTAAGTGTTGAAAAGCGACAGGCGAGGTACAAAGCACCAAAAAGCTTTCCAAACGAGCTAAAAAGTTGATATAAAGCTTTCGTGAGTGCAGGGATTCATAATTCTTGGTTCTTTCAGTAAAGTCACGTAGAAAGAAAACATTAAAATAATAAAAAAATAAAATGACAATATTTTTATAGTTTCCCTTCTACGTGACTTTACTGAAAGAACCAAGAATGAGCTAGAAAGTGTTTTCTTAGCCCGTGCTGCAGAGGCAATTGTGCAGTCTGGCTTGTCTCCTTGCATGCTGTCCAGGATTGTCCTAAGCCTGTGCTCTTGCAACATTAATGGTGCTATCTCCGGCTTGTCTTGATGCAGGCTGCTCTGCAGTTTACACTCAGCCCGTGCTGCCAAACTTACATTGTTTGGTTGCTGTTGAGAGCCGCAGCTCCTCCTTTTGTTTTTCACGCCAAAACGCTGCCACTTTTTGTTTGGGAGGTTTTTTTAGTCATTTTTTTGTAAACAAAATGGCCACCGAGTCTTTAGCGCCACAGAACCTCCCGTCAACACCAAGCAACCGTTTGTATTGCTCGAGGCAACCACGCATGTGCAGATTGTTGTATATATAGGTGTTATGAAAATTGATGAAAATAATGAAAATTTAATGAAATTTGAGACTTGCATAATTTATCCGAAATTATGTTAATCAATGTAATTATGCGCATAAATTATGCTGATTCGAGAGATAATCGTATTAATTTCTGCGAGTGGGCCTGGTTATGATAATGCAGGTTGTTATGGATTATAAGGTCGAGCCTCGGTGACGAGGATTGTGTTATGAATTGGAATAACGCAATTAATCGTATGCAGTGACGCAGGCGTTGGGAGCGTGAATGAGAGAGAGTCGATTCGACTCTGCTCTTTAATTCCGTATTATCGATAAGGATACGATTACTCTCGATTGAACGTTACGAATTATGTGTGTTATGGATTATGTGTGGTGATAGTGTGGTTATGATAGGTCCCCAGGATTCAGATCTCATACGCAGATCAATATTAAGCAGAATTTCAGGAAGAATCACATACAAACCTTCTGCTTTGATCAATTTTATTTTCTAGCTAACTTTAATTTTTGGATAATATGAAAACTCAATCTCGGGATGTTGGAATTTCAACACAGCGTTAACATGATACCATCACGATTGCGTTGTTTCACCTCGATAGCGGCACCTGTGGTTAATTCCCGACGCGTAACGCAATCGATCGGTTGTTGAGAGAGAGATTAAAAACAAGCGAACTATTCTATCAAAACCTTAACCTTATAATATGCAAACTCGTATTCTTGAATGATTACACAACACGGCACTCGGTCTTTGATTCGTATCCAATCCTTAACACATTCTGATATGAGAAATTATTATGCTTGAAATCGTCAGTACAGTACCACGGCAATGTTCGTTCATTGATTCATCAACGATTATGCAATTAAAGCGTTCGACTGAAATAATTCTGATTGCCTCATCAACGTAACTCAATGGGTGGCGATGTTTTTCGTTATCAGCTAATAGTTGAAGGAGTTATCATAAGTCTTGTATCTTTAATGGGAGGGTTGTTGATTTCTTGCGTTGAGCAAACGCCTAGGTTGATTTCCTCGTCAAAAAAAATGTCTGTTCGTTGTGTAGCTGTGGGGGAGTGAGGAAGGAGTGTGGGGGAGGGGCATACGAACGACTGCCAGTTTCTGTCCACCGCTGGCTGGATGAGTCAGCACGACGCTCGCCGTCGTCGCGCCGATGGGTGTTGAGTGCGGGGCCGCTTCCCTCTCAGCCCTGGTGACGCGAAGTTGCGCGCTGTAGCACGCTGGTGGCACGCTGTTGGCACGCGCTGGTGCTGGTGGCACGCTGGTGGCGCGCTGTTGGCGCGCGCTCCCTCTCCTTGAAGATGCGCGAACGCGCCCGTGCTGATTCGCTGACAGCAGTTTCCTCCACTGCTGGATGAGCTGCGCCGGTGCGCGCTCTTTCCGCTGCTGTAGTATCTGACGCTGCGCTCGCGGGCGACAGGTCAAGATTTTCTTCTGCTGAGTGAGCCGAGTCGCACGCGCTCTCATTGTTGAGGTTGTTGGCGACTCTCTGAGAGCAGGTTTCCTCCACTGCTGTATGACTCAAGTCGCACGCGCTTGGTCACTGGTTTGCTGAAGTTGTTGGCGGCTGCTCGTGCTTTTCCGCTGCTGGTTGAGCCACGTTGCACGTGCTTTCTTTGTGGAGATGCTCGAGCGCTCTCAGCGCTGATTCGCTGATACTTTGTTGGCGGCTGGCCAAGCTTTTTCTTCAGTTGAGCGAGTTGAGTCGCACGTGCTCTCTCTGTTGAAGTGCGCAAACGCGCCCGTGCTGGTTCGCTGACAGCAGGTTTCCTCCACTGCTGTATGACTCACTTTTGTTGATACATCGCGACTCAGCGATCCCGCTACTCAGCGAGGCTCGGAGCCAGCCGCTCCATGCGACTGCTCGTCCTGTGGACGTCTTGACTCGCTGATCTGTCTTGACTCTTGACTTTTAACTTCACCGACTTTTGAAAATGCGGCTGACCGTCATATTCAAAGACAATTATCTCTGCGCAGTGGAAAAGGGGGGGCGGGGTCTGTGTGTGTGAGTTCGTGTGTGTGTACAGATGGATCCTGCGATAACAATCTGTTTGCCCTGGCGTGAAATTCCTCTCTCGCGCTCTTCGGGAGAGACAAAGGTGGTCGGGGTTGCTTGGGATATTGTTTAAACTCTTTCGTAAGTTTGCCCGTTTGCCTCATTCCTTCTCGAAAACCTTTGATGCAACTCTATTTTGTCTCCAAGCTTTGTTTTAACAGTCAAAGTATTAAAGGTGAAAATCATTTGATAGCGAATTAATTATTGGATAATAATTCACTGATGTATCTGGTGGCCTGGTCTTAATTGGAGTGAGCGCGAGGACCGTTAACTTTAGCTTATTCTTGTTATTGCATTTTAAATTTTTACCGTTTAAAAAAAATGGTTTAACCCGTGGGCGTCCTCATTTCTGGCTTGCGGAGGGCTTCCCTCTGCGTGACCTCCCTTAGGGCACAACAAACTCTTGTTCATCTGGAGATCTTCGCAGATAGCTGCTAACATCCTCGCCTCGAGAGTTTTATTATTTTTCTTTATTTATTAATGGCCTGTTTATGACCGACACCTGGTTTTGCGTGTGCCTGGCTTATGGGTTTTATTAATTATTATTTTTTTCGTTTGTTAAAAAATATGATATATATAACAGCAAATATTATTGTTAATATCAATTTTGGAAAAGGCTCATATACAACAAGATGCATCCTGTGGCTCAGTTATCATTAAAATCAGCATACATTGCAGTTTGATGTATTTAGTTCATCTTGGACCAAGGATACAAACAAATCGCGAGTGTTCATTTGGGGGCTTTAGTTTGGCTTTGTGCAAACCCAATAGTTTCAGTTTAAAACATCAAAAAGGAAGACCAATCATGTTCATTAGGCAAAGAGGGAGTTTATATGGGTGCCATTAGGCATTTATTTTACAAATGTTAGTTCAGGACAATGTTATTTTGTACCATGATATTTCAGGCTATAGGTCAAGAAGTTGTGGTTCGTGTATTTTCTATTATTTACAGGTAGGACTTGACGGAAATCACCGATAAAAATAGAGTACTGGTTCATTCGTCATCATGTCAGTTATTATGCAAGATTGAGCAAGTCCAGGAGAAATGGTATTTTCAGGTTGTCCGTCCTTCAAACAGTGTGAGGGCGTTTAGGAGAAACTGTTCAGGTTTACTTTTCAGGAAGGGAGGCTATGTCCAGGGAGATGGGCAAATGATTTCCAGGCCGTATTTGATGCAGCGGCCTTCATAACAGCCGAGTTTCAGGCAGATGGTTTAACACAGTTCAGGCAGTTGTAGACATGAGACTCCTGGCTATCAGCATTTGTGGTGGCCATGCCCAAAGCGTTAACCATTGAGGAACCGAGTTGAGGCAGAGTTTCTCCAGCAATCACCCTAATGCAGCTAGAGACGACACGTCGCCACTGTATCAGCATATAGGTGTCTGAAGCACCAAGCCGCTCTTGCACAAGGCCACAAAGAATGTCTAGTCAAGCCTCCATAGCGTGGTGGGGTGCTTGTCTTTTCCAGAGGAAAAGCACTTTTGACAATGTGGACAGATGCTTTGTAATGCCACAACCTAACCTTTACTTAAAGCTAGTTAAACTTGACAGCATACCTTTACCCCTTGCCCTACATTCTTCATGGACCTTTGATATAGTTCGTTAGGTGTGCGATGGAAATATCCCTGGAACATAAGGTCCACATTTGCATGTTTTAGGGGAAAAAGATTCATTAAGTAATAAAATACATCTGGATTCAGATTCATTAAGCATGGCAAGGTGCTTATGTTTGAAGGCAATGGCATAAACCTTGGTACAAGTTGCCACTATTGAGGGACTTGGCCAAATGCGGCACTAATTCTGCACACATACAATCCTTGTGAAAGGACAGAACAGCAGTAGCGAATTTCAGCATTTTATTTTATTAGACCACAATGGTCAGCAAGACATGCAAGTTCCAGCAAATCACAAATAGTCGTGATCAATAGCCACTCCCGTCAAGCGCCACAGCCCGGCTCCTGTGCCTCCTGACGGCAATGGCAGCAGACAGGAGAGCAACGACGGCTGTGGCAATGACGAGGAGAAAGGACAGAGTCCCAGCCGAGGCCCATGATGAGGAGGGAGTCTCCAGCAACAGCAGAGCTGCATCGTTAACATGAGCTTCTTCAAAGAGCACGGGGCCCTGCAGTGACACCACGTGCTTTCCTACCACGCTTGAAGCGTCAGAGACGGTGTTGCGCTCTGGAACAAAAACAGAAATTGGTTGATGACCACTGGCCCATACAAAAGGACGCTATATGCTTCAGGTCAAGTTCCTCAGAAACTCAAACGAGTAGGTCATTAATGGCATGCCACGGCTTGTCGAAAACGAGTCTGCAAAGTCACAGCTAATGTGATCTAAATAAGAACATAGCAACATTACCACAAGCAATGAAAACCCCTTTGTCATCTTGACAAAGGGTTACTCTGCGAGTCTTTGCTGGGTAAATAAGCGCAAGATATTTAATAGAGGTCGCGGTGGTACTCACTGTAGCGCCTGGTCTGCCCACACTGCCGATTGCACTCGGTGACAAAGTTGGGGCTGGAGCTGTCGCACACCACGATAGAGCAGTGTAGATAAACCTGTGGCAGACAGAATGCATCGCTCCAGTAAGTAAAGGTTCCCATGTTTTAGGTAGTCCTTCTGGCTGTCCAATTGTACAAAGTACACGTCATATTCTGGGTTTGTTCAGTAAAGTCACGTAGAAGGGAAATAATAAAAGAAAATAAAGTTACGTTTCGATTGCAACACAAGCAATTAGGTGTGAAATCAGTAACAATTTTGAAAAAAGCGTCAGTTTTAGCCAAATTTTCTTGCTGTTGTTTTCACACACCGATTGCTTGTTGCAATCGAAACGCCGTGAGAATTTGTTTTATTTTTATTATTTCCCTTCTACGCGAATTTACTGAAAGAACGTAGAATGAATCCCTGCAGTTATGAAAAGCTTTAAAAAAAACGAAATTAAAAGTACACTTCATCCAGGGGTGGAGCCAGGGGTGACATTCTACGTATAAGTGTACGACACTCGGTCTGGCGTACTCCGTGCAACTGCATTGTCAGAGTGTGTCACCAACCGATGGCGTCTAGTTCAGCCGACTCTGATGATTCTTGAGACTATAATGTTGAATCTCAGCCCGGCCTGAAATCCTGGCTCCGCCCCTGACTTCATCCCTCCATGGGGACCTGGTTTCTAATGGATGGAAAGAATCGGGCACTCACGAGGTCACGGGTGGTGCTGCGGTCAGAGTTCATGAAGACGAAGGCCTGGAGCGCCAGGCGCTTGTAGTGAGAAGGCAGCGGCAGGTCAGCGACACCAGGGAAGGAGACACTGCAACAAGGAGACTGCACGGGGCAGCTGCACAGGAAACAGTGCCGTTAAACCCTCAATTCTAAGCAAGTGTCATGTATCGGATTGAATGCACGCATCTTTATTTAAAATCTGCACGCGAGGATGAAGGCCAGCTTTAAAGTCAGGACGTGCTCACGACCAGCAAGGCAGCCCAATTGTCAATATGCATTGCACCATGTCCGATGCAACCATCACTGCATGTAGTCGGCCTTGTACAAACCACCATCTCTGGGATGCAGATGGTGGCCGTGTTAACATCCAGAACATCAACCCAAGGAGCATTGTGGTCATCGACATTTGGGGATGGCACTGTAATCTTGTTTAAAACGACACCAGTACTTGGTCACCATTACACGAACCGTTGTCATTGAAAAAGGGCCGTAATTAGCACAACTCTGCTTACGTGGGGGAAAAAACAGCTAACCAATGCCTTGAACGAGGTTGCCTCTGCAGGCCCTGCTGTGGCAGTGAGAGAGGGTTTAGAGAGCACTACCCCGCCCCCAGCCTTACCCATCCGCCACAAGCTTCCACTGCGTGGGGTCGGCGTCATCTGCCGTGGGCGTGGCCCAGCAGTCCTTCAGGAAGAGCGCCAGCGTGGGGTCAGAGCGGTGCAGCAGTGACGCCTGCACGTAGAGCGGCGTGCCCAGAAGCTTCACCAGTGGGTACTGCCATGGCTGGTACGGCGTGGTGTAGGAGTTGTCTGGCAGCGTGTGGAGACGGTTCACAAGGCATGTGGATTAGTGGTGTAAAAGGTCCTGTTTACAGCACATGGACAAGGCAAAAGCACAAAGCCCTCTAAAACGTGCGCATAACTTTGAATTGTAACTCGGGCACACATTATCGCAACATTTTCCTGGTATAGAAAGTGGTTAACATTTAACTTGTATTTTCAGAATAAATTCTGTCACCCTCACCTCCGATTAGCATGGTTGGCTACATGACGTGTATACAACAGCATCTCTCAATGTCTGTAGATGTTTTAAAGGGGCACGTGGTTTCACACGGAAGTGGTGGGAATCGGGTGGCAACAGTTGGCCAAGCTCCAAGTCCCATTTTTAGCCAATTGGTAACTAATTAAGCTATTGAAAAGTATTTGTTCAAGCAAAGGTGACCTGCACAAATGAGGCCAAGAAAGCAGTCCAATTTTCCTTCAAACAATGCCCTCAAGGAGACCGTTTTGGTTTGTGGGTTGTGCAAAAGACGCATTTGGTAGCACCATGGCAATTAAGGGAATTGTCATCCCTTTCAAGGTCGGCCCAACACTAACAAAAACGGTTTCAGCTGGTAGCTGCTAGATTCAAAACCTCAGCAGAAATTAGCATTTAAAGTTGCACGTCGTACCATGGAGAATGTGCAAGGCGTTCTAGTTCACTTGTGGCTGTGAACTCTGTTGGCAGGTTCACAATACTCTGGCAGCACGGCCTAGCATGTCATCCGTTTGTTGCAGTGGTTTGCAATTCAAGTCGAGCAGCCATGCCGATTAATGCTGCAGATGCATCCAAAAACCTCATGCAGCCTGCAATCGGTGGACATTAAACCAGCGTTGAGCTCCATCTCAGCACTGGATAAAATAAGCTCGAGCTAGAGCTAATACGGAGAAAACGACCCAAGTCTTTCCTGGGTAGAGCGACATCACAACCCGTGTTCCCCAAGGTGGCATTTGTTTGCTCCGAGGTGCATGGTGTGGGAGAGGGTAGCACTCACCAGTGAAGACCTGGAGCAGCAGGGAGAGGGGTCCAGTGGCAGTGGCTGGAGGTGGTGGTGGGAGAGTGCTCACCTGCACTCCAAGCTGCAGGTCGCCACTTCCAAGGAAGCGGCATTGAAGAACCATCCTGGTAAACAGACACCACCCGCCAAAGGCATGCACCACGCCCTCACGGCAGAAAGATTGCAGGGCGTTTTGCAGACGTACCAGTGAAGGGACCCACCTTGGTTAACACCGTGTTTACATTAGCCATAAACCACATTTCTACTTCTTCGGGAGACGTTAAAGATCCTGTGACAAAGACAAGATGCCCTTGTGCGTTGAATGTCCCAATTTGAAAATTAAATCGTTCAATATGGAAGCTCAGATTGGTCATGGTTCTGCAAATATTTAATGTCGCAGGGACAGTGGCGGGGGTGGGTCTCCTCTGCAAGACTCATGCTTGACCCTCATGAGCAGAGCACTTGCAGAGGGGTGGTGGCAGTGCTTACTTGTATGTGGACGACTTGGTGATTGCGACGTTTCCATCGACGCAGAGCTCCCGCTCAGAGGCCAACAGTAACTCGTACACGAGCTCTTGCCCACTCCACTGGACACAAAAAGTAGGTCACACAAAACGATAATGCCATCGAGTGATCAAGCAGAAGCATGATACCTGGTATTATCCAAGAGTCGAGATGGCTCAAAATGAGATATTATGATCCCCATAAATTCTGCTTGGCACTCGATTCATTTGACACTCAATCATAAAGGGACCCTGCTGTTCTTTAGAAACTCGTGCATTATTGTGCTCTGCACATCAAGGAGTTGTGCATCGTGAAGGGTCTGATGCAGCACGCGCCATCGTGTCTGTTCACCCATTTGATCTGGCACGTGGTGTTGTGTAATATACAAATAAACGTGCTTCTAAATGCACACACCTTAATAGATGGCATTCAATTAACAAACGTATTCTGTAGCGTCTTTCGTCTCGGAGATCATTTGCCCACCAATGTTTTAAATAGCTTGCTTGGATGGAAAAGTGTTCGAGAAAGTATGTCCTACAATTGATAAAATGTGTAGTTTAAGAAAATAGTTTAAATATTGTTCCTTGTAAGTATGTTAGGTTTCGTTGAAATTGTTTCTAAAATACGTGAAATTGATTATTGTAAGATAATAAATCATAAAACATCAAGTTTGTAATCTACAGTTGGCTGGCTCAAACATGGGCTGCATTTTTTACGAAAACAAGCCAGCTGGTTCAAACATTCAATACAAAAATGTTCCTTTAAGTCGGTGTGTTTAATTTGTTTTGATAGCATGGTAAAAATATTAAAGTTAAGGTGTTCTCCCTTTCCATAAGTTTGTGATTTTCATGGAGAGGTATGTACTTTTTCAGGTTCACAATTCTGCAAGACTTCCTGGAGCAATGATACTGAAAAATGTCGAATTGGTTCGATTTCTAATTTGTTCTGAGGAAATCTAACGTAACACATATCCATTAAGATAGCGACTCTATGGACAAAGCGACTATTTTTGGCTCGCTACGTCATTCCCTTACCGAGTTGCCAAAATCGACCTTACCTATAAGTGGGTTAAAGGCCAATACAGTGTTAGCACGTGATATATTACTCACAATTACCCACAGTGTTACCACGTTATACATTACTCATAATACCCCTACAGTGGTATCACGCGACACATTACTCACAATACACCCACAAGTGTTACAAAGTACCAAGACCTATGCAAAGTACTTGCGATAGTCTTCAGCAATGAATTAGCTATGATTGATATGGCCGCATCTAACTTGAAGGGACCACATTTTCCTGGTCCGACAGAGTTTGATGAACCTGGACACAACGCAAAACCAGACCAACGTTGGTGGTAGAAGTTTCGATATTTTTCGTAAGCTTGCCAAAAAAACCATCTCGACATGTCCATTCCCAAATCGTAAGTGGACGCACACTAGTGCAACGGATTGTCCACCTGGAAAATATTTCGTTCGGCGAGGGCTGTTTCCCAGACCAGTGTAAAATAATGAATGCAACACCCCTTTAAAATGTTGGCTTGAGCCATAGTGATCCCACCAACTAGTGCCCCATCCCACAGGTGATAAGTCGAGGGTCAGAGTGCATGTGAAGTAGTTTCTTGGCAATGTTGCTGCAACAGGCAGATTCAACCCATTGCAGTATTGATCTACCCGAAGTTATATAGAACGGAGGTAGCTTAACTAAAGAGCCCCAGTTAGGTCTCCAAGATCTTATATGACTGGATCACACGATATTTTGACACCATTGAACGAGGGCTACTAAAATCAGGCTTCCAAGGTTCGGTTTATCCAGTACGGCACTGGGGTGGATTGTCTCATAACTATATGGTCGATCAATTTATCAAGCTAGATGACGGCCATTACTTAGTTGGTGGACTACAAGAATCAATTCTCGGGCCCTTACCATTTTAAAGCATAGGTCTTTGTTTGCCAATATCATATTATCGCATGACAAAGTGCCATATGCCGACGATACACCGCAGTGAAGTCAATATTTGATATGGAGCCTCAGGAATATTGTAGATACACTAGCAGTGCACGAAACAGATGAATCGAGAAAACTATAAAAGGTTCTGCAGGTTGACATTGGAAAACCATTTGTGGGATGAACAGGCTTGGCAGACGCCAACTCCAAGATTGTTTGATACTCTTTTAGAGCCTTGGGCACCATACAACCCAAAAAGTTCAATTAACACCTTATGCAAAATATAGTCAGGTCCTGACATTTTTCATATCAGGCTCTACAACATACTAGACCATCATTGAGTCGTCACAGCCAAGTGGCATATAGCATCGTATCGACAAGGCGTGACTATTGCACTTCTCCATCTTACAGATCATCTGGTAGAAACATTATCACGCTGAAAAATGTACGAAGCGCTTTGGTACGTGTAGTTATGGTACTGCAAAATCCAACCAAATCCTTCCAGTGCTTGCCGTTCTGTACTCCCTTTCGGTTAATAAGTGAAGTTTAATTCGATTAATTTATGCTCTATTGCGACGTTTACCTGTGGCTACCAGAAGCATGACCATCAACCAGAACACCAAATTATGTCTGCAAGAATTGATTGTTCTCATTTGCGCAAGTCAAATCCTGTGCAATTAGCAAAATGTGCAAGCCACGACTAAGGAAAACATGGCAGCGAGTACATTACTGCATCAGGCACAAGTCCACTCGACCAGGAGTGAAGGCGTTGGGCTTGTTCACTGAAGGTTTTAGAATCGAATTCCGGATACCATAGTCATGAAATGAATTGCATTAAAGGGCAACCTTAATGACTGCACAAATTGGCACACGACATGTTCCCATGTGGTGCATTTAATCCCATTTCCCAGTTGGCATGAAGGTACGTCAATGCTATGAAGATTCAGGCATGCCGAACCAGTCGCTGGGTTTCATCATGGTCACTGCACCACAAGTTACCCATTTAACTACATCAAGATGGGGGCAGGGCAAAGCAGAGTACAGGAGCGCAGTACCTGCACAGTGGCACCACACGCTGCCATGGGTACATCAAAGACTGCAAGGTCTGCAGACACCAGCACAGGGCTGCACTGCGCACCGCTACCGCCAGTCAGGTGCACGGTGCTCAAGTCCAGCGGTGGAGACGTTAGGTTCCGAGACACAGGCACGACAAAGCGCCCATCTGTGGTGCACACTGTGTGGAGCATGGTGGGAGGGTATGGGAGAGTTCGGTGAATCACGAAAGATGCCCCATGTAACCCGTGGTGATGCAAAAAGTTCAAAAACCAGCACAGCAGGATGCAACTGTGCACCAACATAGAACCTCACAGCAAGAGTATAGTTCAGGTAAAGAATTATGGAACTTCCGTTGAATAAGCTACATACCAGCTTCACTGTAGAAGCAGCGGCGTAGAGTGGTGTCGTAGCAGCAGCCACTCTGTGCACAGACGTCCGCGCTCAGCACACTCTGCACAGAGTTGCATGGGAAGTTCCTGCTCTGACCAGAGCACGTGGCGATCTCTAACAGCAGGAGCACAACAGGTGATCGTACAAAAACCCACGTACTTAAATAAGTCATCGTTTGAGCCACGTGTCAAGTATGTGAATGAGTGTTACTTGGCACATGACCAAATCACTCGGGCAATGCACCCAATCTCGGAAGCGGAGCAGGGTTGTGTATAGCAAAGATAGGCAAACACCGTGCTCACTGGCTGTAAAGGCTATAGCAGTGCAGCACAGTTAGTTGCATTGCAGGTCAGTGCCACTCAACCTTTGCCAACGAGGAGCAGCGTCGTGAAGCATTGTCAATTTAACCCTCAAGACCCAGGGGCAGCACCAACCAGCAGTGCATTAGGCAAACGCGTTCATATGGTGCAACCATTGCAATTGCCCATTGGGGGAAAGTGCATCGAAAAGGATTCAAACAGCAATTTGTCCAGTAAAAGCCAATGACATGAAACGCACTTGCAGGAAATGCAAAGGCACCAGGAGAGACGATCTAGGTCGATTACAAAAGGCAGCCGTTGAGCC